TTCTTTAGTAAACTGCTGAATTATCCTTGCAAATTATATATTTAATATTATACATTTTTTTCTAATTACTGAAAAAAAAAATTTAAAACTGTATTTGCCGATCTCAAGCCCATATGAAAAAATTGAGGAAAATTTTAATAAAATAATTTAGGCTCCCCTCAATAAATTTTCTTGCTCCCGCACTGCACAAGCATCCTAATTATACTTGTGCATGTAAGAAATTTTCAAGATTTATATAAATAATTAAATATAAACTAACCTCGGCAGATCAACGAAGTACTGGTTGTGCAAAAGGGTGATAGGCTCTCAACAGAACCTCGATTATAATGCTCTTCAATTATGTCTGAATTTGATTGGAATAATGTTAAAGGCATTCTTAAAGAAAAGATATAAATAATTAAATTATAGGTTATAATAAAATTCATTCAATGTTCGAACTTATTCAATGTTCAAAATTTTATGTTAAATTTAAGCAGTTATAATATTTTATAATTGTATGTTAAGTACAATCATAACTACGATCAAATTAAAATTTTGGCATACCTAAATACAATAATAATATTTATAACATAGCTATATGACTATAAAATATTCACATATATTCGTGTCTATATTAAAACTGATTGTCCCGCTTCCCTTTTCCTCTGCTAGGGTTTTTTCCGTGCTGGGTTTCCCCCACCCCGCTGGGGCCTCCCCCAGGCTGGTGCCGACGATCTCGGTGATTTTCAGGGAAGTGCTCTCTGCATACACTTGTGTATTATCTGGTTTTATGTTTTCTCACTTTGTTTTCGATCTCCTTCTCCGACGTTTGCCAGAATGGCACCGAATCATTTGAGCGACCTTGGTTTTAGGGGGTTCGTCTCATTCGCGCTCATTTTTTGAAGCATTTGCTGGTTCTAACTCGGTTTCTTCTTTTCCGGAACTTCGGACCTCAACTTTTCATGGCTTGCCTTCCCTTTGGATTTTCAACCAGGATATCAATGACTTGGTCATCCCGTTTCAATTTTTTTAGTTGTTTTCTTCCCTCTAAGCAACCCTCTCTTGATTCCATTAGCAAATTTTTCTTTAACCTAAAATTGAACGGTGAAGTTTCGGTCACCTTGCTTGACACATCGCACATTCTAATTAAACTAGCTAATGATCATGATTACTGTAGAGTATTTTGTCATAGATTATACATAGTTTTCAATTACTACATGAAACTCATGAAATGGTCTCCCAGCTTGGATGTTGGTGTTTAGTCGCTTGTCATCTCAATTTGGGTCTCTTTTCTGCAATTACGTCCTCATCTTTATACCCCTCGTATACTTCATGGATTAGGAGCTATTTTTGATAAACCTCTGAAAATTTATATGGCTACTTCTGCGATTTCTCGTCCTTCCGTGGCTCATGTGCTAGTGGAACTTGATATAACTAAATCCTATCCAAACCAGGTTTGGTTAGGTTTTGAAAGTTTAGTGTATGTGCATGATGTTCTCTTTGATGAATTCCCCACCTTTTGTGCTTCTTCTAAATGCATTGGTCATGTGGCTGGGAAATGTCTTCCTCCCATTTCGACTGACCTGTCTATTGCAGTTGCTAAACCTGTTCCTATCGTGAATGGTGGGCAGGTTTTGGGGAATGTTGTTGGTGATTTAGGGGATAATGCTCTTCTTAATAATAGTCCTAATGTAGTTGTTCTGTCTCATGTTGTTTTACCGTCTATGAATCCTACGTTTATTATTTCTTCTCCCCCGTCTTCTATTGTGATGTTTCTTGCTGTGGGGGATTGTTCGAATGCTGCGGTTGCTGTAGATTTAGACCCTGTAGAGAATTTGGCTAGGAATGAGGAGGTTTTTGAGGAGGATACACATGCTATTACTTCTCCTAATTTAGCCCAAGTGGAAGTTGTAGTAGTTGGGGTCGAGCCTATTGCCCAGGCTTCTCGGTTATGTGTTAGTGCATTGGTAAATTGAATTATAGTTTTAATTTAAAACCTGATTTATCTTGTGCGGATATTGTGCCTGCCCCGTGTGGTTTGGCTATGGCTGATGTGCCTTGTGTGGCCACTGAGCAACCTGGTTCTTCTGTTTCTCTTATTCAGGAATTATCTAGTTGTGATGAACCCTCCCTAATGATTCTTGTGAATCAAGATGCTGCCTCCTCTTCTATTAATTTGGGTTTGGATTAGCAGGTTGAATCAGATTTAGCTTCCAATGATGGTCGTCAATGATAATTTTGTTAATATCCCTATTTCTGTTATATCTAATGTTGAAATAAAAGCTCATGTGGCTGTATGTGAAAAACTATATTTTGATTCAAACTGACTTGTTGATTTTAGAGGATTTCCTTTATTTAATGGGGAAGAATCGGATTTTCATGAACTTGAGAAGGATATGGTAGTCCGTTCTGTCATTCATGGTTTTCTTAATGTGAGTGGTAATAAGCATAAAAGAAAAGGCAAGAAGTAATAGGGTTTGTGTTTTGCCCCTTGCGATTTCGTTAGTGGTTTTGATGATTTGGTGGATGATGATGAGGAGGCCTCTGCTTCTCCTTGTTCGCTTGGCTGGTTGGCAACCTGGGTGCCTCGGGTTATTACTTTGTGGATTCTGAACTACGTTCGTATAATTGTCACCTACAGATGGTCCGTTCTTGACTGCGAGGTTGGTGTTGGGGGCGTCCATTCCTTAGTCCCCTCTCGTTGCTTATTTTGATATGTTTGGTTTTATGGGTTTTTATTGTTTTGTATCACGGGCTGTTAGCCTTTTGATGTTGTACTCACCCCCTTTTTTTCTATGAATAAAATTGTGTTTTGTTAAAAAAAAAAAATTATTTGTATCTATATTATTATAAAATATGCTCTTAAATATCAACATAATTGAAACTATTTTCATCAAATAATATCAAATGTATTTTTAATTCAAGCCGTTACACTTACACTTTACATTTATATTTTTTTAAGAAATTAGAGGCAATGTTCACATGGTGGACCTGTGTTCAAATTTTAACATATTAATTTTATTAGGGGTATTTTAGGTATTTTGGAGAAGGCAATTTTGTTATTTTGCCCTAATGACACTAAAAACTCATGGTCAGCCTTTTGTGCGATTTACAAATGATGTGCGATTTGAGAACGAAGTCATTGGGCACTGGGCAAGGTCGAGGCTGAGGCGATCACTCCTTGAGTCTCTTTCCATTTCACCGGCTGACTTCGCTCCACACTCGACGAGCTTTGAACTATGTTCTCATTTTATTTATTAAAATATTAGTCTTATTGAGTCCTTTAGTATTCACAACAGTAGAGAAATATATAGTTTAATGTCTTAGCATTGTAAGAAGATCCATCACGCAATTAGATAAGTGAGAGGGTGTAGCGTTCATAAGAGACACTAGAGTTTTTACATGGAAACCCCTAAAAAGGGGAAAAAACCATGGGGCCTGGCCCAGTTTAAATGAATCCACTAGTATTTGTAGTCGATTACAAATGAGGCCCTTCTTTGGGAGAAGGTCTTGGCTTGATGTTACAAATGTATGTCATACAGAGCACATTACATGGTGGGAGTTACAATAATCAACATAGATTTGTTTGTTTGGTCGGCGCGGTCATAGCCGATAGGATAGAGGTCGGAAAGGCCGTTGTCTGGTGATGGAGGTCGAAAGGACCGTAGTTGGTAGGAGATAGAGATCCGAAAGACCGTAGTTGGTAGGAGTCCGGGATCAGAAAGATAGTTATCTGTTGATGGAGGTCGGAAGGACCATAGTAAGCGACGGTGGTCCGAAGGACCGTAGTCGGCAGGAGACTAGTGTCAGAAAGACCGTTGTCTGGTGATGGAGGTCAGAAGGGACATAATAGGCAATGCAGATCGGAAGAACCGTAGTCGGTAGGAGATTGGGGTCTGAAAGACCATTGTAGAAGGGCGGCACTTCGAGAGAACGCTCGGCGTCAAGCCTGGCAGAAGTCCAAGCCTTAAGTGGTGGTCCGGCGGAGCAACGACGCCAGGCAATGGTCTAGTAGATGTGAGGGCCTCAAGTGGTGGTCTGGCGGAACAACGGTGTCAGGCGGTGGTCCAGTGGAGGTGAGGACCTCAAGTGGTGGTTCAACGGAGAAACGACGTCAGGCGGTGATTTGGCGGAGGTGAGGGACTCAAGTGGTGGTCTGGCGGAGCAACGGCGTCATGCGGTGGTTCGGCGGAGGTGAGGGACTCAAATGATGGTCTGGCGGATCAACGGCGTCAGGCGGTGGTCCGGCGGAGGTGAGGGCCTCAAGTGGTGGTCAGGCAAAGGCGAGGGCCTCAGGTGGTGGTCCGGCGAAGGTCCGACAGTGGTCCGACGAAACTCCGGCAGTGGTCGAGGAGGAGCTTCTTCATTCTCTTCTCTTCTTTCTTGGATCCCCTCTCAAGAGAAATGAGAGATCTATTTATAGATTTTTTAGAGTGGCATGGCCCGTAAATAAATGAGAGATCAGGGGCAAACATGGAGTGGTACAGATGAACAGTTGATATTGAATCCTTCGATTTTAAATAGTTTATTAGATATTTGAAGGTCTTAATGACTTCAGAATTTGGCGATCTTGGGCTGGTTGGATTCGTCTCGTCGAGCCGCTCGATTCGACTATAAGCTAGTCAAGTTTGGAGATCATTTGGTAACACAAATTGTGGTACGAACTTTCCAACAACGCTTTGGGTCTTTGATTTGGACTCATTTAGGCTCGGATTGAGTCAAATTTGGTATCGTTGGGTTCGTATTTTCGAGAGGCTGCTGAAATCGAAGTTCGTGATCCCGGATTTAATTTTTGAAGTTTCCAGCTTAATTTTTGTTTCGAGATTCGTGCCCGATTAAGATAATTTTTTGATGATATATCAAGTCTTTGTTAAAATATTAGTCTTTAAATTATTTTAATATTATAAATAAAATGTTTAATTACAAATATTTATTAAAATAAATATTAAAATAATTTAAATAGGATAGCGACAAACATTTGTATAACGAGTCAAGAGATAAGTCCACGTTGGTTAGGTGGATAAATGAAATGGCGTCTTCAAAAAGACTTCGCTCTCTCTCCGAGATCTGGAACGATGAGAACGGCGCCGGCGACACCTCTCGATTTAGGCCGCTCAGTGCCGGTGCCAAACGTTCAGGAGCTTGCGGCGATAATCTCTTCAACTGAGGGAAACGGCGCCGGCGAGGTACCGGAAAGGTACGTTAGGCCGGAAGCCGAAGCAGATCCGGTGGCGTCGCCGGCCGACGGAGATGAGCTTCCAGTCATCGATATCAGCAAGCTCATCGATTCAGAGTTTCTTGAGGAACAGGAGCTCGCCAAGCTGGGATTTGCGTGCAGAGAGTGGGGCTTCTTCCAGGTACTTCATTTCTTCGCCTATCAATTGTTCTGTGTCAATATATATAAGAAAAGCTGAATTTTGAGGCTCCTATTTCTGTAAAAATCTGATGATGGACACATATTTGCGACCAGTCGAAGGTCTTATTTGATAAAGGGCAGTATATGCAGCATGGGGAGGGCCATGCTAGAGGCAGCTTAGCCGCCTGTGCGAGTCAGGGCCCTTTGGGCTCTTTTTTGGGTCTGCTTGGGTATTTTTTGCTCGTTTTAGAAACCAATAATAAATTTTTGACATCCTGAACTAGATTTGAAATTTTTGGACATCAAAAAGAGCCTTTGGAGATGATTTTAAGCTATTTTAGAGTTGATACATCACTAAAAATTAACTTAAGAGAGTGAATCTTTATGCATATTTGAATTGAAAACTTTCAAAATTAAATTTGGGGCCATCCAAAATCTGATTTCAGTAAACTTATAATTAAGTTGAATGAGACGAACCTAATGACACCAAAATCGGTCCAATCTGGGATCAAAGGAAAGCCGGTCGGCCACCATCATGCACATGCCAATCAACCTTTAATCAATGGGTTAACCACCAATTTTTACTCATTTTTAATGCATTGCATTAAATAAATCATAATTGAGCTTAATTCAGAAAATGACAAAATATCGTAATAGTAGACAACAAAAAATCATACTGATTAAAAATTCAAATTTTTAGGATTTTACCAAATTACTAAATATTGTATAAAATAATATTATGAAGCTTTAGTTCAACTAAATAACTATTTATAGACATTAAAATAAATTTCTGAGTATGAAAAAATTAGTGTATTTTCAAAATCATCCGGTGAAAAATTTTAAATAAATACTCAAAATGTTCATAATCTCGATTTCTATAACATTTAAAAAGTTACATGGTGATACTTTTACAAATACAAAAGCATTCTCATTTTTCAATAACAGAAATACAATTTTGATAAGAAAATTATCAAAAATATAAAATCTTTAAAATAAAAAATAGGGTAATGATTCCTTATAGCGAGATAAGTAAATCTCTCAACTAGGCTGACACAAAATCTTAATTTCATCAAATATGACAAACAAGAGATATTTATTCTTATTGTGTGTAGATAATAAATCATGGAGTTTCTGATGAAACAATAAACAAGATGAAGAAGGATATGATGGAGTTCTTTAAGCTTCCACTGAAGGAAAAGGAGGCAATCAAGCAGTTACCAGGTGGTATTCAAGGCTATGGCCAGCTCTTTGTCCAGTCTGAGGAGCAGAAGCTTGATTGGGCTGATCTGCTTGTTCTCAGCACCCATCCATTTGCAAGAAGGGACATTAAATTTTGGCCTACCAATCCCACTACATTCAGGTACTGATTAATTATGTGAGAAATTACTAGGCAAATATACTTCATGATTCCCAAGTCTGATACTCTATATTTTTATTCCATTTTTTTATGATAAGGATTGTGTCCTGAAAATAATTTCATTTTGCATATTTAGTATTGATTGATTAATCAAGGCTATGTTTGGAACGATTTTTTTACTGCTTATTAATTGAAGCAGCTTTTTACTGCTAAAATTTTAAATTTTGTACTAAAAAGATATTTTAAAAAGTAGTAAGAAAGTCATTCCAAACAAATTATAAATAAAGAAATATTTTATTTTGATATTGTGTATTTATGTGAAATTTAATAAATAGAGAGATTTATATGCATAACACATAATTCTTATGTATTTATATATTTAATACTTAAATTTTTATATTTTCTTATATTACACTTTAGTATCTCAATCATATCAAAAGATATACGTGAAATGTGCAATTAAACTTTGAGAAGTTAATATTATTGGTATTTTTATGTGATTTTAGATTTAGATGTTGTTTAAGCTAAATATAAAAATTTAAGTGTTCAATATGTAAAGTCCCCCTCAAACTTAAGGGAAAATTCTATAAGTTGGTGGCGAGACCTGCAATGCTTTATGGTGCCGAATGTTGGCCAGTAAAAGAGAAGCACAATACTAAGTTAAGTGTTGCAGAGATGAGGATGCTTAGGTGGATGAGTGGCTTGACCCTTAGAGATAGGATATGAAATGAGCATATACGTGAAAAGGTTGGAATAGCTCCAGTGGAGGATAAGATTAGAGAGAGTCGCCTTAGATGGTTTGGTCACATTAAACGGAGGCCTTCCAATGACCCGTTTATAAAGTTGAGGCATTAGATTTGATTTATGTTAAGAAAGATAGAGTTAGACCTAAAAAGACTTGGTTAGAAAATATTAGAAATGATCTTTCTTTATTAGATTTAAATGAGAATTTGACTTTTAACCGGACATAATGGCGAAAAAGGATTCATGTAGCCGACCCCACGTAGTGGGACAAAAGCATGATGTTGTTGTTGTTGCTTTATATGTAAATATATAAGAATTATGTTGTGTATATTTATGCAAATCTTTTTAATAAATTTCATTATAATTGTTTGATTGTTGTTATGACCTTAAATGATAATGTATTTAGTTGTTATATGCATGAAGATAGTGTATATGTAATTATTGATTTAAATTTGGGATCCTTAATTTAATAATTATTAGTACAGATCATCTTCATTATGAATGGTAAGGGTGTCAAAATAGGTTTTCGGATCAGGTTCGGGTCAAACCCGAATTGTCCCGCTTGACCCAAACCCTACCCATTTTTCCAAACGAGTTAAAAATTTAGACCCAAACCCGACTCGATCCCAACTCCTCACGATCGACTCGCTAACTCGGTTGAGTGCAACGGGTGAACGTGAGGGGCAGGCAACCTCAAGGGCAAGGGCGAGCGCGATGAGTGCCAAGCGGAGCGCGATAAGCATCAATTTTATATTAATTTAATTAATAAACTGATCAATTAATGATTTATTTTAAGAATTGTTTTTGTAGCACATACTCCTAATAACTTATGGATGCTTGTGTTACAGGGATACACTGGACAAATACTCAGCAGAGCTGAGAAAACTCACGGGATGTTTAGTTAGGTTAATGGCGAAAGATCTTGGGATAAAGAATCCAGATCTGTTGGGTAACCTCTTAAGCGAGCATCTGCAATCTGTGAGGATCAATTACTATCCACCATGCAAGCATGCAAGCAAGGTGCTTGGCCTTTCCCCTCACAGTGATGGCACTGGACTCACTGTGCTCCTCCAAGCAAACGATGTCAATGGATTGCAGATCAAGAAAGATGATAGATGGTTTTCTGTGAAAGCAAGACCTGGGGCTTTCATCGTCAATATCGGCGATCACATTGAGGTAATTCTTAATTTTAATAATATGTACACTAGATAGATTAAGGTTTCGTTTGGGACGGCTTTTTTACTGCTTCTTAATGTTGCTTTGTAGTACAAAAATTTAAATTTTTATACTAGAAAGTTGTTTTAAGAAGCAATAAGAAATCCATCCCAAACGAAGCCTAAGATTTCGTTTGAGACAACTTTTTTATTGATTTTTTAATTAACTTTTTGTCCAAAATATTTGTACTAAAAATATGTTTTAGAAAGCAGCAAGAAAGTCGTTCAAAACAAAGCCTAAGGTTTCATTTAGGATGACTTTTTAACTGCTTTTTAAAATAACTTTTTAATACAAAATTATATAAAAAATTGCTATAAAAAATATTAAGAAAACTATCCCAAATAAAATCTAAATCAGCATAGTTTTAATCATTATATTATGACTTGTTAACTTCTCTTTGCATGCAACAACTCTCTTCTATGCCTGTAACAGATTATGAGCAATGGGAGGTACAAAAGCATTGAACACAGAGTTGTGATAAACACAGAGAAGGAGCGTCTGTCCATCGCAGCATTTCATTCTCCACCGTTTGAGGTCGCGTTGCGACCATTTCCAGAGCTCATTGAAGCTGAAGAAGAACGTTACAGGGCCATAACAGTCGGAGATTTCATGAAGGCATATATGACAGATAGACTGGATGGGAAGAGGCTCCTCGAGTCGCTCAAGCTGAAGAAATGATGGCCCCTTCAATTTGCTGCAACTGTTACTGATTATTTAAGCCATAATTTGTCTGAAATTTGAGCGATTTTAAGTAAGCAGTTTTAGAGCTTATTGAGCGAAATTTTCGGGTCGGGTCCAATATTGACAGGTCTAATCATAACATAATCAAGATCAACTACAAATGCATATATTTTTTTTCTTTTCTACCAGAGCCAGCTAGTTATCCAATATATATAATAACAAAGGAAAAGTACACAAAATCATATAATTCTTTTCTTCTAAAATTATTCATTTATCTGTTTATGAGTCAGAAATTCATATAAGACTTCGTTTGAGACGACTTTCTTACTACTTCATAAAACAGTTTTTAGTACAAAATTTTTAATTTTTGTACTGCAAAACTTATTTAAGAAACAGTAAAAAATCGTCCCAAACGAATCCTAAGTCACAAAATTATGTCTCTAATACCGCAAATTTTCTTGCTCATACAGACACGTATATATTAAAGATGGGTGCATCTTCATATCATTTATAGCTTTGCAGATGCATTATTTTTGGAGTTTTGATGGTTCTCTTGTTCTTTTCAATTCACTACTGGATTTGTCTAATGCTCCAATTTGGATAATAATTTTTTGTTAATGACTTTATTATTTTGGAATGATAAACGTGAAGAATATAAATTTAGAATAAATTAAAAATTAATTAAAAATCATAAAACTAACCTAAAAAATCCTTAATTTATTGGCCGAAGGCTTAAATTGATCTTTAGGTATGGGTGTAAGTGAGCCGAGCCGGCTCGAGTTCGACTCGTTTATGGGCTCGCGAGCCAAGCTTATCATGCTCACGAGTCGAGCTCGAGCTCGTTTAGTGAACAAGCTCGAGTTCAAACTTTATGAGGCTCAGCTCGTGAGTTCGCGAGCCAGCTCGAATAATAACAAAATTTCACTGAGGCTAGCGATCCGGCTTGAACTAACTCGTTTATAATGGGAAGAGCTCGAGTTCGAGCTCGACTCAAGTTTGAGCTCGAGTTCGAGCTCGACTCAAGTTTGAGCTCGAGCTCGAGTTCGGTATTTGACAGTTGAGCTCGACTCGAACACCTCCTGACTCAAGATCGACTCGACTCGTTTGCACCCTTAATCCTAGGTCTCCAAGGATTGTCTGCTAAGTGCTGTTCGCCATAGAACATTCTATAACTTAACATTATTTGGAGATAATCACATCTCACTAGATTGCTCAAATTAAAATAATAGAAAAATCATCATTTAAGTATATATATATATATATATGAGAATGATTCATTTGATTGCTAGCTTCCATATTAATGATCTAAGTAGGATGCCTACATCTTTTTATAAAATTAATTTTTTTTTTGGAAAGCTTTTATAGAAAATATCTTTCTGCCACAAAATTTATTGAAGGCATTGGTCAAATAAAAATTATAGTTATAATTTAAAAAACAAAGTAGAAACAAAACAGTCCCAATTAAAGCCTAAAAATAAATTTCAAAAATAAATAAATTAATTTTTATTTATTATATATATATTAATATTTTTTTTTTTTTTTTTCTTAATTTATGGGAAACCTGCTTATAGGACATACACGTTAATATTTCAAAATAAGTACAAGTTCTTAAAGGGATAGATAGCTCACTAAAACTCAGAGAGCTACATTCAAAAAAGCAAACATTCCAAAAAACCAAAGATACGTGCCTACTTACAAAATTAAATTCGATAAAATAAATAAAAGCAAGGTCAACAAAAAGCCAAACCCAAAAAAAGAAACAAACCAACAACCCACACCACACAAATAGGCTACAGAAGAAGCCAAACACGCACAATCACTAAACAAAACAAAGAACCAAAAGCAAAACCCAGCTAACCAGCCCAAAAGGACCTAATAAGGCACCCAAAAAAATAATCCAGGCCACCAGAACCAAGCCAACGCCACCTTCCAAAACATATAACACCAAACAACAAACCCCAACATGCACTAGAGGAACCCAACAACAACAGTGAAAACAAAAAGAAACAAAGATCAAGAAGACCCACTCTCAGAGGACTTGAAAGACTGCATCATCTTTTTTATTATTTTTTTCTTACTTTTGTTTGCTAACAACATTGGAAAAGCCCTTGTTATCGACTTGCACAACATTCAAATCATCAACCTTCTGAGAACCGTTGCCAAGACCACCGTTACCCTCCCCAAATCTCCAGTTAGACGATGAATCACGATTAGTTAACTAGTCTGAATAATCAATTAGTTTCTTATTGGAATGCAAAGCCAACTTTTGTTTCACAAATCTAAATTTAATAATGCATTATAAGAAATAGGGGAAAGTGATATGTCAATTATATGCACTTTATTAGAAACATCCAAACTATCAAGCACCATCGCAAGATCAAAAGAACCCAGATGTTCTTGAACAACATTTCTAGAAGGCACATTTAACTCAACTTGAAGAACATCAACAACAAGAGTCAATAATAGGATTAACAACCGTAGTATTAATTGTTTTCACAATTTCTTAAGCAACAACATCAGAAATATCATAAGAAGCTAAATTATTAGTACCCTTATCAACAACAATCATAGGCTTAGAGATGTTCATTGATGTATTATCTAAATGGGGGTGAAGGATATGACAATTAATTTTAAAATGCCCCAAATATTTGAAATCATAACAAAAGGTAGAGAACTCATCCATTTTGACTATTGTAAATACCCAAATTTTTTAGAGCCAAGCCACACACTATCGGGATAACGTTTAGGTACTAAAGAAAAATCTTCTATTACCTATAGATTTTTTTAAAACAATGAACCAAAAGCAAAACCTAGCTAACCAGCCCAAAAGGACCTAATAAGGCACCCAAAAAAATAATCCAAGCCACCAGAACCAAAAATGGGGGTGAAGGATATGACAATTAATTTTAAAATCCAACAATCATAGGCTTAGAGATGTTCATTGATGTATTATCTAAATGGGGGTGAAGGATATGACAATTAATTTTAAAATCCCCCAAAGATTTGCAATCATCACAAAAGGTAGAGAACTCGTCCATTTTGACTATTGTAAATATCCAAATTTTTCAGAGCCAAGCCACACACTATCGGGATAACGTTTAGGAACTAAAGAAAAATCTTCTATTACCTATAGATTTTTTCGGCGAAATTTGCTAATTTTCCAGCTGATTTCGACATTTCTGGTGGATTTTTGATGGAAAACTTTTCACATGTAAAAGCAAGGCAGGAAAAATTTTTTGACGAAAAAAAGCAGCAGTGAAAATTTTTATTAGCTACTCGATGGAAAAAGGCCACCTGAAAAATAAAAACATAAAACATAAAATAAAATCTTCTCGGCCCACTCGCTTGCAATCCAGCTGTCAGAGCCCAAGCACTATATAACAGCCCAAACTCTTAACTATCAAGATATTGTCCGCTTTGGCCTAAGAGGCTCATATAGTTTTGTCTTGTTGGAGTAACTTCCAAGTATGTCGCCCATCTTAGAATTGTTTTGGGATGAGCATGTTTAATTATAGGGTTTTTTTAATAAATTCTAACCATTACACCAAAAGGCACCACAATATTTAAGAATTTAGCTTCTTTTTACTTAAGGGGTTTCATCACTTAAGTAGTTGACATCTTCATTAGCATCTTCATCCCTGTACAATTAAGTGTGCTCATCTCGAAGTAATTCTGATATGAGTGACCTACTGAGAAGTTACACTGATATGACAAAATTTTGAGACTCATAGGCCAAAGTGAACAATATATCGATAGTTAAGAGTTTGTGTTGTTACAAATAATATCAAAATAATAAATCAACTAGAAGATGTGAACGAAGTGTCATATAAGACAAAGTGCTACGCATGGGAGTCACCTCTTAAATCATGTGTGGGACAAAGCGCTATATTACAGAAGCCACCACTTGAACTTGTAGAGACCACATTTAGAATCTCATATGCCTGGTGGATGATTCCAGGATAAAGATACTGATGAGGATGTCAATTACTTTAGTGAGACAGATTGTGAAACATCTTAAGTAAAAATGAAGCTAAACTTTTAAACATCAAGATATCTTTTGGTATAATGATTAAATTTTCATTTAAGAAACATCCCAATAAAACATGCTCATCATAGATCAATTATGAGATGGGTGACATACTAAAAAATTACACTAACAGAACAAAACCATGAGGCTCTTAAGTCAAAACATTGAAATGTTGTGGAATTGATATTTGTATAGGTTTGCAGGTGTGGAAATTTGATTGTTGGCTGGGAATGAAATTTTTTTTTGTTAATACTATAGGTTTACGGCAGATTTTACGCCGGAACTTCGCCGGAAAGGATGATACAATGAATTGTATCGAACTTATCAACGCCTTCGTTCCGTCGGAAACTACCAGCGCATGTTCCGACGCTATTTCCGCCGCTTATTGTCGGCGACGACTTTGCGCCACAAACAAAACCGTTGGTTGTCTACGGCAAACTTGCGGCGTTTTGTCCGCCGGTACTTACCGGCGGAAGATACGACAGAAACTTACCGGCGCATATGGCGCCGGAATTTATCGGTTGGAAGTCGTCGGCACCAATCCAATGTTTTGTGCCGGTAATGCGTTGGGAAGTGTGCTAGAAAGTTTTCCGGCGCAATAAAATCGCCGGAAAAAATTTATCGACGCGACCAAAACCGGCGTAGGAATTTCCGCCGAAACGTGCGCCGGAAACTTATATTTCCGTCGGATTGTCTGTGTTCCGGCGGATTTAGTCCGCCGATAATGATGAATTTTCCTGTAGTGAAGGATCTCCTCTTCCGAAATACATAGCGATAGTATCCCACGATGTGTAGCAGTTTTATTTTAGGGAAAGCCACTGATGAGGGTAGCCCCATATAGGGGCTTTAAAAAGGAACGAGGTTTCTTTTGACCATTTAAAAATTCACGATTGTTTAGCCGATTTATTGCCATTTAAGTCGAAAACGTGGCTGAAGGTGAAAAAAATCAGAAGATCAAAAACAAAACCATACAAGAAAGCCAAACAAAAGAAGCCAACAAGTAGAGAAACAACTTCCCTGAAAGTGAAACAAGCATCGAAGGCCATGGCAGACAAATGGTGTTGAAGAGAGCAGCTATAGAGAAAAACCCTAGTAGCAGAGCTGGAGTGAGGTAACAATATGTGACTTAATGATGAGAAGCTGGGTCTTTGTAGGTGAGGGTATTAACTCAGACTTCGTTTGTGATAGCTTTCTTATTGCTTTCCAAAAAACTTTTTTTACAAAACTTCTTGAATGCATAGGAAAAAATGATCAAAAGCTATCCCAAACAAAACTTAAAAGTTTGATGCAAAATGTTGGCGACTAAATTTTTCAACTGGCCACAGCATACTTTTCAAAAAGCAAATAGCTTTCTTTTAAAACAAAGTTTAGTTTGGGATGACTTTCTTACAGCTTCTTAAAGCAGCTTTCTAATACATAAATTAATTTTTTGTACTAAAAAGCTTCTTTAAGAAGCAGTAAGAAAGTCATCCCAAACGAAGCTCAAGTCCCATCCCAGTGTGATCATAAAGCTGTTTAAAAGCTTATTGAAATCAATCCCAAATAAACCCTAATTTATAAGTAATTCTGATTGCAAACCTTATTGTTATGAGTCAAATTTTTTGAATGAGAATGGTTGTAAAACATTCCCCAAATAGTTGTACACTAACCTACCTCTTTTTTGTTTTTTTGGGTTTTGTTTTTTTATACTCATAAGCTGTTTCATTCCATTTACAATAGATAGATACAAACATACAAATTTATTTTCAGTTAAACGAACTCTCCACAAGTTACAAATATGTATATCAATTACATGTGTTTACTATAATATACAAATTTTAAAAAAAGGATATTTTTTGTACACACCAATACTACAATACACAAGTGTCCAAAATAAACTATAATGGTGATTTAAAGAAGATTATATAAAAGAAAAGTAATATCCTAGTCAAGCATGATGATTATATTAACTCCAAAACTTGATATAAGAGTAATTAATCAAGTAGATTATCATATGAGCATGACGATAGAAAAGTAATAAGTAAATGTGCAAATAAGTAAAATAAGTTATTAGAGCAATTGCATATGATCAAATTTAATGTGGTTCAACCCCCTTAACCTACATTCATGTCTAGCACAACTTGGCACTAAATCCCCTCGACGGCTTATTATCAAAATAATTCTCCTTTACTCCATTAGTAGGCGGATACAGCTTTTACACAAACTTTCTTCTTAATTGGTGATTAAGACTTCATTTGGAATAACTTAGGCCACAACTTTTTATCTGCTTTCAAGAGATTTTTGTATTAAAAAACAACTTTACGATAAGAAAACCGTTCAAAATGAAGCCCAAGTCACACCATTAACATTTTTATTTCAAAGTAAGATGCAAATTTCTTCTAATCTTCTTCATTAGGTTATAATTTCTTCTTCCACATGGGAAACCTGCCACTCATCCTCTACATGGGGTCACTATAGTTTAAGTTTAACATGAAAAATATACTGAATCTAGCAAAACCTTCTAGACAATGAAATACTTTCTTTAAAAAAGCAAATCAAAACTCTCTTGAGCCTTAGAACAGGTTTTATTACAATTAATCCCTTATAATATTTGACTATAAGATGAACACATTAATATAAGCAATCTAATATAATAAAACTTCCAAACGGATTGAATAAGAAATACTTTACAAATAGCAAAATAATAATTTACATTAATGATGAACAATCTAATACTTTCCCCTAATTATCTCCAAAATATTTCACAATATAAATTTTTTTTTAATATTTTTTTAATTAATTGTGTTCATCTCTCCTTATCATGCTTTATAATTATGAATTTAAACATTTTTACTATGAAATATAGTGCATAAACATTAGATTTGGCCTCTTGATCTTTGCACTTTGCATTCAAGTCTTCATTATAATTTTTTTGCTATTCTTTTTCTTCAAGTAAATAAATCTCCATCTCAATCCATCTCGAAGTAAATAAAGCTCCAACTTTCCATCTTAAAGTGAATAAATCTTAATGTTAGTTTAACACATCATAGCATCATATCGTAGTTGTTGTTATTATATGAGTAACATGTAAATTATAAAAATACTTAGCAAATCATATTAGATAGAACATTATACTTACGTGTCATTTGAGACAGCTTTCTCATTGCTTTCTATAACAATTTTCCCGTACAAAAATTTCTTGAGTAAAAAAATTTCTTTAGAAAGAAATAGAAACAGGTCTTAGGCTTCGCTTGGGACGGCTTTCTTACTGTTTTTTAAATCAATTTTTTAATATTTTTTTTATTTTGTTACAAAAAAGATGTTTTAAGAAACAGTAATAAAGCCGTCCCAAACAAAACCTACGGCTTTATTTCTGCTTCTTAAAATAATTTTTTATTAAAAAAATTTAATTTTTATATTAAAAATTTATTTTAAGAATCATTAACAAAATCGTGCCAATTGAAGAAGATGAGCTAATTTATTAAGCCCGGTTCATTACATTTTAAGGTGGGCCCTTTTGTACGTCCAATTCGCAATTTTATATTATTTGGAATTTTATTTTTTAATTAGGAAAATTTTATTCTCAAGGTGGCGCTCACCCAAGTCGCAATTCTGCCGACCTGCAGCTCTCTTATACCTTCCTCTTGCTCCGTACAAGTAACAAAAAGCTATGCAGATAGCAAATATACTGACCAGGAAAACCTCCTGCGTAGCACGAACAGCAAACATCACCTTCTGACCAATGATATCATTTGAAACATGGACCTACGCTCTTCTCCTGCAATGGGAAGCAACGGTACCGCTGGAAACACATGGAAACTTTTGGTTGGCTTTTCTCTCTGTTTGGTGTTTATTTCGGAATTCCAAAGTGGTTTAGACACATTGTACTCAGATACTGCGCTCTGAATCCTACCCTACTCGTCTCCTTCCTATTCGTCCTCTTCTCTGAGAAGAAGGCCACTAAATTTAAAACAAATAACCAAATTACCCTGCTTCTATCTAACTTGGCCCGATTATGGCAATGAAGTAATTAATCAAAATAGCAAGGGGAGAGATCGCAGCCTTATCAAGGCGTGAAATGTGAATACGATTTCACGAACGAGGAAGCTGCGAACTGGCTTCGTGGTGTCAGTGCCTCCATCCGCATCTCAAGAAATGTAGGTATATCATATAGCTCCACAATCTGCTTGGCGCGAATCTTAAAGAAATTTTTTCTTATCCTAATTATTAGACATGGATAATTAATTAAAAATATTTGATAAAATATGACTGGTAATAATTTTTAATTATCGTTTCTTCTTAAAGAGTCTAGAAATATTCACTATTATTAAGAATATTTAAATAACAAGTAAATATTAGATATAATAATATTTTTCAAAGAAATTTAAATTAAAATAATCACTTGAAACATATTTTTATTTCGTTGTAATCAAAGAGATATGATGATTAATAGTGTGACTATTTAATTTGTAATATTTTATAAAAATATGAATAAATAATCACCTCCAATCATAAAATAATTTTAATCTAATAATCAAATTTATATTATTAATAAATAAATCAATATTTTAGCAAATATTTTCAAAACTATTAAATTTATTTTAAAATGATTAATTAAAATTTTTATTATATTTATCTCAAATAAACTCAATAATTTAAAATTATATTATAAGTAAAATTAATCTAATTATTTTCAGGCAAATTTAAGGGAAAATTCTATAAGATGGTAGTGAGGCCTGCAATGCTTTATGGTGCCGAATGTTGGCCGTTAAAAGAGAAGCATAATACTAAGTTAAGTGTGGCAGAGATATGGATGCTCGGTGTGAATGAGTGGACTTTACCCTTAGAGATATGATTAGAAAGCCAGCATAATATGTGATAAGGTTTGGAGTAGCTCCGTAGAAGATAAGATTAGAGAGCAGTCGACCTTAGTGGTTTTTGGTCACTAAAACAGCGGCCTTTCGATGACCCGACTAGAGAGTAGAGGTATTAGATTATTCTTATTTAAGAAAGGTAGGTTAAACCATAAAAAGACTTGGTTAGAAAATTATTAATATGACTCTTTCTTTATTAGATTTAAATGAGATTTGACTTTTAATAGGACACTAATAGAGAAAAAAGATTACATGTATAGTCCGACCCCACCGTAGTGGGAGAAGGCTTAATGTTGTGTTGTTGTATTTTCAGGCAAATTTTCTTTTTCAAACCAAAATTAATATATATTTTTTAAAAAGATTATTTTTATCCTTCAAAATTTTTTTCAAAGATTTTTTTTTTTTTTTTTGGTAAGCAAAATTTTGTTTGATCCAAGCCGCGTTTCAACGGCCTGATGCGGTCCTTCACCATGGTACCTTTACAGTAGACAAAACACCGGATCGAATCGAGCCCTGTAACAACTAATCCCGTTCACATTTCGTCAGGTTAAATCTAAAAGGTAACTTTTATCCAGTAAAAGACTTACAGATCGAATCCAGTAAATTTCATGCATTATATAACCATTGAAATCCTTTCCCGTCCTGAGCTCATCATACTAATCAGTTAGTGCATGCAGAGATCTGTCATCGATCGTATCATGATGCTGGATTACGAATGGACGAACCCGGCGGCGGCCGCAGCCGCGGCAATGCTATTGTTTGGGGACGGCGGCGAGGTAGGCCCCACGCCGTTCGACCAATACGGCGGGAGCGGGAACGGGTTGGCGGCTGGAGATTTGTTCGCACCGACGGCAGCTGGCGGGCTGTTCTCGCCTGTGGGGGCGCCAGCGGGGAGCGGGCAGAGGTACGGGATGGGAATGCCGGCGGCGGTGGCCGCGCCGGCGAGGATAGGATTGAATCTGGGAGTGAGAACGTACTTTTCGTCGGCGTCGCCGGAGGAGGAGATGGGAATGGGGATGGGGATGGGGATGGGGATGGGGAGAGTGTGTAGAAGGAGGGCGAGGATGGCGAGGTGCCAGGCGGAGGGATGCGGTGCTGATCTTACTCATGCGAAGCATTATCATAGGAGGCATAAGGTCTGCGAGTTTCATTCCAAGGCTTCTATTGTCATCGCCGCCGGACTGTCACAGCGCTTCTGCCAACAATGCAGCAGGTAATAGCAGTTTTTGTACTGCCAACTTCGTCATGCATGTGGCCTTTACAAATATTAGCTTTTTTTATTTTAAATGATAGTTATGTATTCTCCCACTTGTTGGGAATCGTTAGTGGTTATAATTAACGATCTTGTTCTTGCAAATACCACTAAAACTGTTATTTTTATTCATAATAAACATAAAATATTATTCTCTACACATTCAGATAAATAAAAATATAGAAGATGTCAATCCTAAGAAAGAAAAGCTTTGCAAATCTGTTAGTTTTATGATTGTAAGAAACATTGTTGTGACTGCACTGTTAAATCATTTGATTTCCTTAATTTGTGGTGAAGATCATGTTTTAATTCAGGCTGTGGTAGTAAATTTATAATTCATATGTAGACTTTGATTTGCAATTGTGTTAATTAATTTTTTACGACAAATTGCAGGTTTCATGTTCTATCTGAGTTTGATCAAGGAAAGCGCAGCTGCCGGAAGCGTTTGGCCGACCACAATCGTCGGAGAAGGAAGTCTCAAGATCTGACCACCATCAACACCCTAAACAACAACGATAATAATAATAATAATAATAATAATAATAATAACAGCAATAGCACGATCACAACGGCAACCAACAACAGCAATAACACTGCACTGCTTCACTTTGAGTCGAGCAGCAGCAGCAATAACAACAACAATAACAACATGAACGTGGGGAGCTCCATGGATCAATGCAACCCTGAGATAGGTTCTACCGTAACCCGAGCTCCCTCTCCCGCAATGGCGCTTGGGCTCGGTTGCGGAGCCATCGCAGTCTCCTCGGCGCCGGCAGGGCTGTCTGGTTCATCATCGACAACGGTAACATCGCCGCCGAGAGTCTCGTTCTTCTCTCACCTTGGTGAAATCCGTGCACAGGAGCACCGCTTCCTGAGCTGGGATGATGGCGACGATGGAAGCAGCATTAGAAGTCTCTATCAGAGCAAATAGTATGTTGATGTTTTAATTAGGAAGTGATCAGCCTTACTAGAAGTTGTTTTCTATTTTCCCAATCAGTTTGCATGCTTGTTTTAGTTAGCTGTTCTTAAGCTTATTGTGTTGTCTTTTAATGAATAAAACTTGTTTGTTGTATGTTGCTTGTAAGTCGCAAACTTGCTGTTTAATAGGTAACATGTGAAACCTCTTTTAAGTAAAAGAAATATTGAGTAGTTTTTTGGTGAAATGATTGGAATTTTCGTAAGAAATTCTACAGTTAAGCGTGTTCATTTCAGAGCAATTCTGAGATGGATGACCTACTGATACACCAACATGATAAAATCATAAGACTCTTAGGTCAAAACGGACAATATTTCGATAGTTGAGGATTTGAGCTGTTGCATAACATCCTGTAAAATTTTCACTGAGAATTTAGTGAGATTTAGGAGCTGTTATATGTATCAAATAATTTTCAGATTTACACTCTTAAGATTTATTAAATCCTACAGCCTAACACAGCATCTAACTACTGCAAATTATTTTGTGCAAGAACTGTCAAACGTCCTGAAAAAGCTTTCCCTGAAAGGACATTGCAAGCGAGTTTATAGCCGATAATGTGCGAGTTGAGATTCACGTGAGGAAGGAAACCCTAACTGACATCTCCCACAATGAAAACTTGGCGTTTTTTCGTAGATACAGTATGGAAATCGAGAGGCAGAGGAAGCTTCCTCTTGAACTGAAAATTATTGTCTGCTTTGCTATCTTTCTTGCATCGTACAAGCATCTGATAAAGAAATAGGAAAGCTTTAGCAATTTTCATTGCTCCAAATTACTTGGTGTTAATAAGTTGGACCTATATAAAGCCTCAAGACTCCATTCTTTTGCTTGTCATATGGAGCTACTGATTATTTCTCAAAATATCTGTCAACGAATTTGAGAAGGTTTGCAATATAAAGCGCATGAAACTTAGCTCTTGATCCATGAAATGCCTTGTGAGCTCTCATTGTAGGCAGAAGATTATTTAAGGATTGATATTCTTTGTTTGATAGGATTAATTCAGCTTGCTTGTTGCAAATCTAAACTCTTTTATTATGTGCTGATATATTTCTTTCCCCAAGAACTTATATAGGTTTTAGTTTTAGAATACTTAACGTTGGAAGAAAAAAAATATATTATTTATTGGTTGCAAGCTTAGGTTTTGTTTGGGATGGCTTTCTTACTATTTTCTAGTAAAAAACTTCTAGTTCAAAATATTTTTTACTAAAAAAATTATTTTAAAAAGAAGTTAAAAAGCTGCCCCAAATGACACCTTATACTCTAAGGGTAAAGGTCACATGGGTTCTGTTGTCATCTATTTTTACCCTAAATATTGTATTGTAAAATGATCCTGATATGAAATTTTTTACCTGTCCAGCCTTCTCCATCTTTAGTACTGTAATGCCACTAATGGGCTTATATGGAATCTTTTAATGAGTTTTTTTTTTTTTTTGGGACATTTAGGCCATTTAAGGCAAACACATACACAACGCATACACAAAGACTCGAATCCAAGACCTCTTAGTTGGAAGCATAAGCTCTCAACCAACAGGCCAAGGTGAGCTGTGTACTTTTCATGAGTAAGTAGTCCTCCTTTTGAAAAGAATTGCAGTATACAAAATACGTCGCTGATTATCATTTTCTAAATACTCTCTATGTAACACAAAGGTCTGTCCTAGCGATGAAAAACTACTAAAGTTCTAAGAGATAGAGGGTTGCTTGTAAACAATAACAATAAGTTCTGCAATTATGATTTCTTATAGTCGCTTACATATTTTCTTCTGCAACCTCTTCTCAATTTGGTTTGTTCACAAATTGGTTCTAATTAGAAACAAAATTTGTCTTGCTCCAGCACTTCAACTGATATTTCTACTTTTTGCCACACTTTGCTAGAGTTCGGCCTTTATAAAGGAAACCTGATTGTGAATCATTTTATTTCTTTTGCATTATTGTTTGACTTTGTAATGATGATGATCATACAGAGATACTTTTCACACAATCTTAGAAAGTAATTATTTTTTACTTTTAATTTTAGAGAAACGTACTCAAATGCAAATCTTATAGTGGTTTCTGGCCTTCTTTTAAATGTTTATCATATTCATGATGAAGTTAGCTTCCTTTTTAGAAAGTTATGATGCTACTAAGGCTTCGTTTCGGACAGCTTTTTTATTGCTTCAGAAGGCAATTTTTTAGTTAAAATTTTTTTAATTTTTGAACTAGAAAATTACTTTAAGAAACAGTAAAAAATCCGTCCCAAACGAAACATAACTTAGCAATTAGAACCACACTCTACTAAGTAGTATCCACCCACCCCTTCAATGACTTAATGATGAAATATTATAAACTCCACCTCACTCCTTACTCCCTCAAAAAAACTATTGAAAGCAACCATACTTGTAATAGTATTCGAATAATCTGCAATGGTACCAAGTAGTAAACTCCAAAACATCTACCACTTCCAGGAAAAGAGAAATTCATAAACTAGGCCTTAATATATATATCTTGAATTTGTGTTTCTTAAAAGCTTCTCACTTTAGTTTCTTAACATATTATTGAAAGCGACCATACTTTGTATTTCTGAAGATATAAACAAGTTTGTACTTCTTCGTAATCTACTGAAGTTCCCAAACTCCCCCTTTCTATTGTTCCTTGATCATTATTGTCAATTAGGATTTACTATTGCCCACAGATAATTCTGGATTCAACATAGGTGATTTGATGTCCTCTTAATTGGAGACCACCAATTGCTATGGAATAGGAACATTAATCAAGAATATATCATCAAAGATGAATCATTGTCCATGTATCTTCGAAGGATGAACCAAACACTTTGGATTCGTTTGAAATGGCTTTCTTTCTGCTTCTTAGAGCAGCTTTTGAGTACAAAAATTTATTAAAATAATGCTTTAAGAAGCAGAAAGAAAGCAGTCTCAAACGAAACGTTAGTTTAACAAAAGAGGGAACACTTAATTGTCTCAAAAATAAAATACAAAAGTTGATATAGTAAAAATTAGATCAAAAGTGTAGTAAGATAAAAAATATAAAATATAAAGAAATAAGATATTCATTATGATCAATCTATAATTCTAACGGTTCATTTCTTTCCAAGAGAATGAAAATGACTACAGTAATTAAAATATGAAATTTTCTAATATTATTTCTCAACTCTTCCATGTTATTTGATAAAGGTTTCATGCGAAAAAAAAAATAATATAAATATAATTCGCATAACTAATATATATATATGATGAAACAAAATTTCGAAAATAATATGAATTGTTCAAAATAATTTAAAATGAGTTGTTATGGTAAAGAAAAATAAAATAAAATTAAGTGGTGGATATATATATATATATAAACATTAATCATGAATATATCATCAAAGATGAATCATTGTCCATGTATCTTCGAAGGATGAACCAAATACTTTGGATTCGTTTGAAATGGCTTTCTTTCTGCTTCTTAAAGCAGCTTTGAGTACAAAAATTTATTAAAATGTTGCTTTAAGAAGTAGAAAAAAAATAGTCCCAAACGAAACGTTAGTTTAACAAAAGAGGGAACACTTTATCAAAAATAAAATACAAAATTTGATAAAGTAAAAATTAGATAAAAAGTGTAGTAAGATAAAAAATAAAAAAATATAAAGAAATAAGAGATTCATTATGATCAATCTATAATTCTAACTGTTTATTTCTTTCCAAGAGAATGAAAATGACTACAGTAAAATATGAAATTTTCTAATATTATTTTTTCTCAACTCTTCCATGCTATTTGATAAAGGTTTCATGTGAACAAAAAATAATATAAATATAAATCGCATAACTAATATATATATGATATGATGAAACAAAATTTCGAAAATAATATGAATTGATCAAAATAATTTAAAATGAGTTGTAATGGTAAAAAAAAAAAAATTAAGTGGTGGATAGATATATATTAATTTGGTATGCATCACCAATGGCTAGAAGATATAAAAAATTATAAAAAAATAAAAATAATTATGAAATGTAAATTATACACTCAAAAGCAAGCAAGAGCAACCTAGTAGTCAGTTCAGAAGAACAAAAATAGCTGGCCTTATCACATATAGCACATGCATTTGTTCTTGGAAAGGAACATCGCACGAAGTAACCTCAGAAGCCTTCCTGTTGAAGATGAATAATATGCTTTGCTACTCAAATAAATTACTGATCTCTATTGAATTTTAACTACGGTTTCTTTTTTTTTTTTTAGCAATGCTATATTGTCAAACTCATAGCATAAAAGATTAGCTAGTTGTGATCATGAGGGCATTTATCTCTAAGGGGCTCCTTGTTTAGATGTACTTAAAATAACAGTGTCAAACAAAATAAATATAATGTATTTATTTGTTTGGTTGTAAAATGAGTTCTAGAAAGATAATGATTATATTTCAAGTATTTTAAATTTACTATTTTTGTCATCTTTTTAATAATTTTTTTATAATCTTAGTCAATTCTATTTTGCATCATAGACAAAGACGAAAGAATGTCATGATTTATCAAATTCACCCATATTGGGCGATGAGAGCGAGGACAAAGGCATGAAAAATTCCTCAAATTTGGCGACATTGATCGAGGATTTTACATGAAGCAATCAACGCGAGCAATGCATTTCAAATTCACCCAAATTCGACGAATTGAAAAAATACATAAATAATTGAACTAAAATAAAATACTTTACATTTATTTTCCTGAGTTAAACATATACAATTTCAAAATATTTATATTTACTTCACACTCAAAATATAACCAAATAAATAGCCCCAAGTAGATTGCCTAACTTTCCCTCTTCTTCTATCTCAATTGCTTTTTTAGTGCAAGAATATCATTTTGTTAATCATAAGTTGAACATCACAGCATTTTTCATATTTTTTTTAACAGTGAGAAAAGAATTCTTTTATGCTTTTTTTTTTTCAGAGACTTATCTAGCATCTAGTGAAAAAGAAAATAATTTTT